ATATCTTTTTCAGGAACAAGAGTGATTAATATAATGTTGGATACGATAGAATATAACATTATTATTATTTGTTAAGACTTAAATTGTACATTTATCATTTGTAATAGTTGCTGAGTTCTGTCTTTGTTTATTCTCTTTTTTTGTCCCAAACAACAAACCTAATCGAAACTTCTTCATGTTTAATCTAATACAGACAGATATCATAACACACACACGCTCGCGCGTAATTAATAGTCTCTATCTGTTGTTATTAAATTTTTCAATACAGAGATATAATAATTATTTTACATCGTATTTAATATGCCAAGCATATACAGAGCTTATCCCAAACATATATTCTTCAATCCTTGTTCTTTGGTATAAAATCAAGTGTCTAATTTTTGGGCTTATTTTGAAAGAAGAAAAACCTCACAACATACATTAAATTAATTCATTTTTTTATTTACAAGTATTCTCTTGTTGAAAGGAATCTGTTCGAAACAATTTGTTGGTTTTTTTTTTGTAAGGTGCTAATTCACTTCTAATCTTATGCCCGGGGCAAAATTTGAATGAAGAAGATATATTGGGCCTACTAGCATAAGCCTTAAATTGTCAGAAAAACCCAATACTCATTATATCTAGGCCCAATTTTTGTAGCAAGGAGTGTACACAAGTTAGTCTTAAAGTTTGGTTTAAAATTAAGTGTAGTTGTAGCAAAAAAAAAGAAAAATTAAGTCTAGTTTTAACTTTGGGCAATTCGTTTTTTTTTTTTTCATTTAGTCTCAACATAATCTAAGAAAGGAGGTTGAAGACTGAAGTGTTGAATTGGATTTTAGAAATATATTTATCCCTTGTTTAACAATATGTTTAAGATTCTAAATGCTACTGTACCTATTCTGTTAATTATTCCAAATTATATGGATCATATCTCTTTGTTAATCTCTCCATGTTGTTAGTGATTGCGTCAAGAAAGTTGCCACATGGAGTGATTGCGTCAAGAAAGTTGCCAAATAATATGGCACTGGATTCGGTTTTCATCAATGTTGATGAGCACAGTCCTTTGGGATGATCTTATCCCTTCATTTCTCCTTAATTAAATGATATTTACCATTGATTTTAAATTGTTTTTTAAAATATTTTTATATTATATTTATCAAAATAAAAATAAATAAAAATTATTAAAATATGAATATTAAATTTGAACTATCCAAAGTATATCCAGATAATTAATTTATAAAAATTTTTAATATTAAATTAGACCTTTTGGATTATGTATATATATTGTCTAAAATATATCTGAATAATTTATTTGTATAAATTATAGAAAAAATTAATATTAAATTGGTTTATTTGAATAAATCTATATTGGCCAGTTCAGTGATAAACAAATTTATTAAAGATTTATATATATTTTTGCACATTTTGTATTTTAGTAAATATAAAATAAAAATGAAAAGCTTAAACTTGGACTGTTCAAATCTTATTAGGAGTAATGAGTACCATGGTGTTTATCCTCTAACAAGCATAAAAAACAATCCATATTTAATATTAATTTTTTTATAATTTTTATATATTTTTATTTTGATAAATACAATATAAAAAATATTTAAAATCAACTACAAATATCCTTTGTAAGGAAATAAAGGGCCAAGATTATCCTAAAGAATGACGAGCACATGGTGCTCATATGCGGAATGTGGTTCCAAATGATATATCTTTTTCAGGAAAAAGTGATTAATATAAGGTTAGATAAGATAGAATATAACATGTCAATATTTTATAAGGGTAAATTACATTAAAATCAAATCATCAGCTTAGAGCTAGTAATATGAGTTAGGAGCTGACCCATAGCAAATTGTAAGCTTGGTTGCACAGGTTAACATAATTTGCATCTTGTATGAATTGTAATTTTACTAACTTACTAATTTGTAGTAGGTTGGTGGGCTAGCGGGCCACCAGAATATTTTGAACATATATATAATGTTTGCAATTAATAAAAAAGAATCGATTTGTGAGGCTCAAATATCCTTGCTTCTAATAATTTGTAATTAAAACTTTTATATATACAATTAATTATTGAAATAAATATAATGTTTACAACTCGTTTTTTCATGATATTTTGGGGCTGGCCACATTGTTATTAATTAATTGGTCGTTTAGGATCTGATTATTGTTCTTCCAAAATAAAATAACTGAATAAAAGCCTCTTAATCATTTTCTTATTGGTCTACTCCCTCAGTTCCTTAACCTATGACAAAATTTGAAAGTTTTTTTGTAATCTTTGATATAAGATGAAGTTAGCATAATTAGTTCTTTTTTTAGTTTTATCTATTGTTTATTTATTGTCATTTGAATTCATAACCAACAACTTATTATGATTATTAATTTTTAAAAATAAAATTAAAAGATTGTATACTTTTTATAATTTCAAAATTACAACTAATATTTTCTAATAAATATGAACTATCTAATATCGTTTTATTCCAAAGATTAGAGGAGAATGTTTCTTTTGACTTTGTTAGATAGTAGGAAAAATAGGTAAGATGGGATCACATGCCAAGATTTTCTTAAATTATTATTATATGATCTGTCTTCTTTTTAAAATATATAAGCAAGCTAAACAACCAACCCACATATTAATCTACTGCGAGTTCAAGCATCAAGCTATATAGGGTAGGCCAAAACTGACTTGCATAAAAAATAAACCTATTTTTTTTCAACCCATCCCTCTTTTTTTGGCAGGTTGAACCTACGAGTTCAACCTATATTGCCAGCTTTATATTAGCTAAAAGCCTAGGTAAATTCTGATATGGAGTAATGTCAAATAAATCTTGCCAAAGAAATTTTTGAAAGTGGGCTTATGGACTATCATAAATTGCTAAGAAGATAAAAAATTTCTTGCCATTCGCAAGATACCACATCTTCATGTGGATAAACTGAATATGATTAATGATAATATTGACACTCACTTTATCAGACCACATAATCCATATACCTCTAGGGAATCTCAATATTTCCACTCTATGAGAGAAATGAAAGCCAAGATTTTTAATAACTTTACTAACTTTAGCTCTTGAAATTCAAAACTCTATCGAGACAAAATTTTAGGTTTGTAATTAGACATAAAACATGTTATGATTGAAGGAAATTTTGATCAGAGGCTCCTTTACGTACAATTCCAAACAAAAATGGACATAAACAGAAGAGTATAAATTATTGCTTGAAAGCTGAGCTAAAGTCAAAGCTTTAGATAATGTTCTCCCTCCTTACTCTTGTTCTGATCTGTATTCATGAGGTTGTCTTTGAGACAAGGAGCTCTGGAGTTGTGACTGCCGAGCTTCATCAATGGTCATGAGTACATCAATGGCTTCCTATGTTTTAGGAACCATTTCAAGTGACAAAGTAGCTAAAATGTGGGTCCCATCATTAGAACAGAGCATGTGAGCATCCATGGCAACATCCACTCAACTTAAAAAGCATAAAAAAATCAAAGAGATAGAGAGAGTAAAATTTGAATGAAGAAGGCATATTAGGCTTGGACCTGTTGGCATAAGAGATAAACTAATGGAAATGACCAAGACTCATTGTGTGTGTTAGGTTTGGTGAAAGAGATGGACCAGAGTATGTTTGGTCTATATGTAGCCCAATTTTGTAGCTAGAGTGCACTCAAGTTTCTCTTAAAGCTAAGTATTGAACGCAAGATACTTAAAATAGAACCGATCATTAAATTGGTTATGGCATCAGATCATGAGTTAATGGTTCAACTGAGGTTAAATGACGTGTCAAATCGGTGACAAACCGGCCATGATTAAAATAATACAATTTAAATAAAAAGACATTAATTATAAAAATATTCAATCAAATTCAAGATTAATATCTAATATAAATAATAACAAATAACAATAGACAAAAAAAATCAAAAATGCTAAGCAACAATAAATAAATCAATAATGGCAAATAATGTAGAAGCTACACATTCTGAATTAAAAATGCAGAGAAGGAAGAGGCAGAGCAATCAGAAAACTAATGACTAGATGATGAGAAGATTCACTGAGAAAGATAGAGGATAGTGACATTACAGCGAGCTTTGCTTCATAACAAGTTTTGTTACACGACGAGAGAGAGGGGAGCTAAGAGTGACATGAGTTATGCATCATGATCATGGTGAGTTATGCACTTCTGCCACATAGCAAGTTTTGCACTTCTGTAACATGGCGAGAGAGATAGAGTTCGAACTAGGAAAGCCAGGAGCCTAGGAGAGCGACGATGGTCAACGACTGATGGGTGGGGTTCGATTTGAGCTAAGGTTAGGGATGAGTGTTCAAAGCTGTTAGGGGTAGGGTTTAATTGATTGATTTCAGAATTCAAAAACAAAACCAATAAAGCTTTTTTGCTTTTTCAATTTTTTTTAAAGAAAAAACCCCCTAAAACATGATCATTTTGGGGGTTTTAAAGGGAAAACTATGTTATTTTGGGGTTTCTGAAGGGCAAAATAGGTGACCTGATTAACCTAGCTAACCCCATTAGGTTATCCAGTTTACACTGAGTTGACCTCAGGTTGGCCAGGTCACTTGTTGATTGAGTCAGGATGAAAACTAGACTAATGGAGAGGCTAGGTCATTGGTTTACAGGTTGAGTCGGCTAATTCAATTTTCCATACAATGATTGAACAGGACTTTAGTTAGGCCAAAAAAGAAGAATGAGATCTTTAGAAATATATTTATCCCCAATTTAACAATATGTTTTTTTTATTCACATATATTTTCTTGTTTGAAACAATAATGTTGAAGATATTATTGAACACTAAATGTAAGTATATTTTTCAATAAAACTTCAAACATTTGTTTACCAAATCATGAGAAATCAGCCTCTTTCATTAAATCTAATCCCTTGATAATATGTTTCTTTCAAATAGTGTTTGAGCTCTCATTTAATTTATCAAATCAAATTTATCTCCTTTTACAGAACATTTTAAATTAGAGGAAAAGTCTTAATAAAATAACAAATAGAGAAAGCATAAATTTATCTTGGTTCGAACAAAAAAGGTCCTACATCCAGTCCCCAAGCACAAAGCAGGGGATTTTCATTATAATTGGCAATCACAAAATTAAAAGAGTCCAAACTACAAAACAACCTAGTAATCAGACTTGGCTTTCCACATATTGCTCCTCCAAGACAATAGACAACCTAACCTCGTATGACCTAACTCAATTTTAACATTCTTTACCACTTCCACGAGATCTTTCACAAACTTCTAGGAAACTTTCAAATACAAGAAAACATGACTCCTACAACTTTTATGTCCCTATTATAAAAAGGACACAGCAAACAAGACCAATTAAAATGAAAAATAAATATGAGAAAAGAAAACACGAAAAAAAATAGCATGACTCTTCAAGTGATTGGCATTTGGTCCCAGGTCTCCCATCTTCATTTTCGTATTCTTCAAATATTACCTGCAACAAATAACTGGTTATAACGTAGTAGCTAACCTTGTTCAAATGATCAAATGTAACAATTAAAATAACTAAGCCAAAATATTATTAGTAATAGTGATTTAACCCAATAAAGCATATGTTTCACAACGAAAATACAAAATTTCTCAATGCAATGGTAGAGACTACAGTTTAAATAATATAGCCAAAAAGTTCAGTGGCTTAGCTTAAAGACATAATACTTCATGAAAGCTCAAATCAATTTGTGTTTTTGGTAGACTAACAAAGCGTTTAAAACTTAGAGCATATGTTTAAAATAATAGCTGAACACAAACGGTTCTCTTTTACCTGTCTTGTTTAAGAGCATATACCTAAAATTTGGAACTTCAAAGTCGAAAAAATTGGAAAAGAAAATCATAAAACAGAAAGCAGAGCTCAGTGGGAAAAAAATGAATTTAGAGGAGAATACCTATAAAATTTGAGCGGGATTTACATCACATGCGTTCACTCATTTTGGCATTGCATACTCCAATTATGAATGTTTTGGAAATGTGTTAAATCCATCCAGCTGCACAAAACTAATTTAAAGGCCAGAAGAGTAAGTTAGCAAATGGAAGTAATGGTAAAGAAGTGAAAATAAAAAGTAGTTTCATTAGGAAAATGAATGGAAATGGAACATTTCAAAGAATTCCAATTAAAAATTCATCAGTGCAGGTGAAAAAGAGGTGCATGGTGTGTGATTAAATACTTTATAAGTGCAGTAACAGGATCGGTTACCTCTGCATGGATATGAAAAATCAGATCTTGCAGTCACCAACCCATATATTAGGGACGTGAGCGATTTTGGGCCATTCTGCACCTCTTCCTCTCTCACATCTTTCTTCTAAAAGTGGGGAACTCGAGATGTATAGCGTATGTAAATTAGTAAGGCGATGCATTCCTTCAGGCCATGACTCCAAATTTGGACAAAATCGAATGGCAATAGATCGAATTGTTTGGAGATGGCAGATCCACTCTGGTAAAGTCTTGACATTTTGATCACAGTCGGAGATTTCAAAATGCCCAAGAGAATGGAGGCAACAAAGGACTTGGAACTGTGAGCTAAAATCTTCATCTCCACTACTCCATGGATTATGGTTGTCAATGCCACCAATAAAGAGTTCTTCAAGTGTAGTAGGAAGATGTCGCATATGGCAAAACACAGTTACCAGACTAGATGGTCTTCCAATATCAAGACGCTTAAGAGTGGTTAGATTTTGCATCCACTCCTCTGGTAAGAAATCTATGTCCTTGCAATAAATCTTTAAATGCTCAAGGATGGAAAGAGGTGGATGTAATTCTTCTGTTGCGCTCACCTTTAACGTCTCTATCAATGGCTTCATGCTACAGTCCTCTAAACACAAGAACTTCACAAGACTTGGAAATGTAGGCATGCAGGTCAAATTCAAACAACCACTAATTTCTAAATATGAAAGACGAGGAAATGAAGGCAGTAGAAGTTGCTTCTCATTATCTTTTCTATTATTTGTATCAGCCTCCCTTTGCCATCCCCTCAAACTTTGACACTCATAAATGCGTAATTTCTCCAAAGATGGGAAAAAGTTAGTTGATGAGGAACATCCTTCATAGTATATGTACTCTAATGCATCCATATCCATTATCTCGAGAGTCTTGAGAGAAACCAATCCTTCTAATGGTGGCAAGTATTGACAATTCTTAAAACCATAGAGATTTAATTCAACAAGATTTGTAAGTGAAGGAAGCCAACTTGACAGCTTCACTCCAGGGTAGTTCGTGATTTTCAATCGTTTCAAATTTGGATGAGGACAAAGGTTTTCTAATACTTGAACACTATCACAATTTATGTCACTTCGACTATACCGAAGTGTCAATGACTTCAAGTTTTTCTTTGCTTTCAAATGAGCAACCCTGGACTCTTCAACATCCATTACTAAATCCAGATTGTCAATAATTAGTTGATGTCTGAGATTGAGTTCTTCCAATTCGTTCAACTTCGCATGTTTTCCCTTTGTGTAAGATTGGTCCCCCACAACAAAATATATTAATCTTTGTAGATTTGTTAATCTATCTAACCCAATTGGCATTGCACATATAAAAGCTGGACAAGCTTCTATGTGAAGATGGCGCAAGTTGATCAATTTTGTGATAACATCTACAGAAGAAGGTTCACGTAGGCTTATGCAACCAGTCAATTTCAATGTTTGTAAATTGACTAGTTTGCTTAAACTTTTGGGCAACCTGGTCAATTTTCCACAATAAGAGAGATCAAGATATCTTAGGTGTATCATTTTACCAATTGAGTCAGGCAAATCTGTCATATCTATTTCTGAGAAATCCAAACTACGCAAACGTTTGAACTTCAATAAATTGGATAGATGACTTTTTGAAAAGCAGTGTAGACGAAGAATGGTTCGCAGTCTGCTTACATCCAATGAATCTAAAGAAAGTTTGGAGCAATATGCAAAATTGATATGCACAGGGCTTTCAAAAAAATTTCTCTCATAAAAAAGACAACGATCAGAGCTAGCAATTGATTGTGAGAGGTCATGTATTAAGTCATGCATTTTAAAAGACTCTATTTCACCGAATTTATTCATCTCAACATCTTGAAAGAAAGACCTCATTATAAAAATATGAACATATCGCTCACCAACATCTTGTAGACATTCTTCGTCATCTTGACATCCAAGGTAGCCTTGCGCCATCCATTGCTCAATCAACTCATCCTTATTGTATGTCCAATCTTTTGGATACAAAGAACAATAAGCAAAGCATTGTCTCAATTCAAATGACAAGTGATCATAGCTTAGTTGTAGTTTTGGCATGACGAGATCATTACTTTCAGATAATTTCCAAAAGCCACCTTCTAAGATATCTTCCCACTCAGTTTCCTCTGTTTTTAATTGCAATAGACTTCCCAAGGCTCTTATTGCTAGTGGAACCCCTCCACATTTGTCTACAATTTTTTGACTGATTAACTCGAAGTTTTGGGAAGTTATTCCATCTATCCAAATGCCAATCTTTTTAACAAAGCTCTCGATTGATCATTTGTCAAACCTTTTAAAATATATGGGGTATTCACATCCATGTATTTTGCCACCATCTGATCACGGGTGGTCACTAAAATCTTGCTACCAGGAACTCCACACATCAAGTATCTTTTTAAATGTGACCACTTTTCGTGATCATGATTCCACACATCATCTAAGACAAGCAAATATTTTTTGCCGTTCAAATCCTTCTGAAGTTTGTCCTGAAGAAGTTCTAATTGTTGGTCATCCACTTTCTGACCAATCGATGATTCTAATATATTTTTAACAAGTGTTTTAACATTAAAGTCATCAGAAACACAAACCCATATTCTCTTATTGAAAAATTTCTTGACTTCATCATCATTGTACACCAGTTGGGCAAGAGCAGTCTTTCCTAAACCTCCAATGCCAACAATAGCAATTGGGGCAGCAATTTGAGTGCTATCAGTATTCAGCAACAAATCAATAACCTCCCTTCTACTTTCCTCCCTCCCAATGATGTCCTCTTGAAGCACAAAAGAACTAGTTTCCCTCCAGTTACTCTCCTCATGACTCATCACTACAACCCTTCTATCTAAATTCAACTTAGACATCTCTTCTGCAACAGCTTCAAATTGCTCTCTGATCTTTTTAATCGTATGAGCAACTTTGAGACGAAAAGCAACTGGATTTGAGGAGGAAAAGAAGTGACGTACCTTTCCCTTCCCTTTTCCATCCCTCTTACTGAGCAGATCTTTGGTGTGGAGTTCATCGAGCAAGTCATCTGCTTCAAAGAGCACTTGCTTGAGCCTCCGAATCCACAGCTTGATAAGCTGGTCTTTCTGCTGCTTTTGCTCAGCATCAACAAGCACAGCTTTGATGGCTTCTGCAGTGTCTTTGAGCCTTTCAATATCACTCTTGACTCCATAAATCATAGCAATCTCTCTGAAAGCTAAAGAACCCAACCTGTTTATGACACTAACAACCACACCGTAAGGAATTTGTTCAGCCATTTTTCAGAGCCAAGGAAGCGACTCTAGTGAGAAAATCGTACAGAAGATTTGTGTATCACAATTCACAAGGTGGGGGTTAATTGAAATGGCATGGCTGGTTTTATCTCCGAAATGCAAAGACCACAAGCTTTAGACTAATGAAAATCAACAAAAATATAATAACAGTAAAAAGTTGACGAAGTCCACGGTCCCCACTGAATAAATTTTTCCCAAGAAGCTTCCTAGAAAGATCCTAGTGATGATGTCGTGGCTGAATGGTGATGCTCATCCACTGTCCAGACTTGGCTTCTCGTCACTGCACGTTCCCTCAACTACAAATCTATATTCGGATTACATTTTAATAATATGGGTTAAATTATACTTTTAAAAACTATTAAATTGAAACCATCAAATCTAATTTAACAATTTAAATTAGCATTCTTTTTTTTTTTCCCCCGCAGTGGAGGAAACCCAACTCCCACTACCCAACTCATTCCATTATGCCAGGGTTTCATTTTAGGACATATGATGGGATATTTCTTCAGATCAGGATTAATGAGTTAATGAATTTTGAAAATTTATTGTAAGGCTAAGGGATTAAATTGAAATTATATTTTGAAAAAAAAAATCATAATGCCATTTATTAATTCTGAAAATATGTATACGATGCTTGATTTGAATATTATTGTATTTTTGTGTTTATTCTAAGTAATTTTTTTTTTTCCTTAATAGAACACCGTCTGGGGGTTACAGGCATACGGCATTAACCATGCAATGCTGCGTGCTGTTCGTTATTGTTCGTCCTCTGGCTTTGCCCATTAAAGTGCCTGGTAAGACATCCCGTTTTGATCATGCATAATATACGAATATTTATTTGTATTTTCATAGAAATCTTATTTACTTAGAAACGCTAAGTTGGTGGTGGGCTTTGTTTGGTGCCTTTATTTGAGAAGGCGATGATGAAATTGCAGTGTGGCGTGGTTGGCCAATTCTTCTTTCGCTTTGACAATGAGAGTCTTTTGGAAATTGAAAGGGATAAAAGGTCAGAAAAATCCTGAAAAACGCGTCAAGTTTCCATATATGTCCCCAGACACCTCATAGGGATATCGTCTGATAAATCTAAGTGTGAAAAATGGTCTGGCTTAGTAACGAAACTCTAACTCTGTAGGAGGAGAAAATGCAGAAAGTAGAGAAGATTCCCAGAAAAACCCAAAAAACGCGTTTAAGTTTGGAGGTCCCCAACCCACAGACAAATTTTAAATCAAATTTGCATCATACATGTCCCATATTCATTCTTAATTTGTGTTGCTATAGCTCACGAGTTTGATCTCCAATGTACTACTTGTACTGATGTGTGTGTGTGTGTGTTTATAATTTATAGTTATGCGTGTGGTTATGCGTGGCAGTAGTTACTGCGTGTGAAAGCACAAGTCAAGCGCAATTATATTATTATTACATATTAGTTTATAACCATAAACGCAAAGCAAAGCAAGTGGTGGAAACTTCATATATTAGACTTCACATGTACTCTTACAAAAACCAAACCCATGAGGTTTAATTAGCTGAGGGCCGGATGGAACTACCTGCAAGTTTGGGAACATTCTTCATCATTTTTGTTTGCTTCTTCGTATTTTTCAACATCAAGTTAAGTATTTTGTGATTCTAAATAGTAATTACTGATTCTTGTATATCCTTAATTGAGATTATTCTTTTTCAAATGTAGTGGGTGAAATAGGTGTGAGTAAGCGTTGGATATTCAACTACTCCCCACGTCCCAAATTATAAAATACTTTTAAATAAAATTTTACGTATAAATAAACCCCATTAAATACACTTAACAATTTTATTTTTTTAAAATAAAAATATAAACTTTTAAAAATACCTATCAGAGAGAGAGAAAAGATAATATTAAAATTAATGCATTTAATAAAATCTTAATCTATCCAAAGTGTCTTATATTTGGGATAGAAATTTTTTTTAAAAGTATCTTATAATTTGAGATGAAGGAAGTAATTGATGTGCATTTAATTAATGCTATTTAGCTGCTGCGCTCCACCAAACCAATGAAAAGAGAACAATAAAAACCGAGAAAACGGCACCCCACCATCATAATTATAAAATATTACATCCCTCTTTTACATTTTCAAATATAAAATATTTTGATAAAAATAAAATTTTATCAATAATTTTTTTAATATTACATTTTCCATATATTTGTTCTCTTTAAAATTCTTTTATAAGTGGAGTATTAAATTAAAGTCATTTTTAAAAACTTAAATTTTTATTTTAAAAAAATAAGGTTATAAAATGTATTTAATAAATCTTATTACTATGAATTATTTTATTTAAAAATATCTTATAAATTAGAACGGAATGAATACTACTTTTTAGACATTTTGGATTTAATATCATATGAGTATACTCCTTCTGTTAAAAAAATATAAGATATTTTTAACCGAATCTCACCCCCAATAAAGTAATTACCTACTTTCAACTAACCTTATCTTTTCATATTTATTCTATTAAACACCCTACAATTAATATAAAGTCACTATCAATAGGGACACTTTTGAAAAAAAGATAATGATTACATTTTAAAAAATTAAAAATGCCTTATATTTTTGAACATTCAACTCCTCAAAAAATACCTTATATTTTTGAATGGAAGGAGTAAGTTATTTTTTAGAAAAAATTGATGGTTCTCTTTTTTTTTTTTGCCAACTATTGATGGTTTTTTTATAAGTAATTTTGTATGAAAAGATTAATTATTAATGACTTTATTTTAATTTTATCATTTTTTCAATTTTCTATAAATAAAATAAAACGTTATATGTGAAATAGAAAGTGTTTTGGAATATGATATATTTAATAAGGCTAAACTGAGAAATTCATTTTCAGAAATTATCAACAATTTAGCTATATCTTCTTGGTTCCAATCAAGTAATTAGAAAAAGGAGTGGAGGGAGTACCATATTTAAAAATGCAAGACACATTAGTTTTTCTAGAAGTAATGAATGAGGTTTTCTAGTCAATAATTACTTTTAATTTCTTTAACTTATAATTTTAAATAATTTCATTAATAATTTTCATAATATTTTCTTGAAATTCGATATTAGCTATAATTATTAAAAATTAATAATGATTAAAAATATTTAACCAAAATTTTGGATGATTTATTATTTTGATTTTAAAAATCGCTTTTAGTTTGAAACTTTAGTTTTGCTCCTTTAAAATGTTGATAATATATTAATTACTTTTTAAATATATTTTGATCTCTTATTAATTTGTTTCTATGTTTTTAGTACTTTTTATTATATGGGTAAAAAGAAAGAAAATGTATTGAAATATAATTTTTTACAATATAAAACATTTTATCATTTTCATCCGCTCTTATTATATTCTTTACATTTAAAGAAACATAAACATCAATTAAATATATATATATATATATATATATATATATTTAATTCCTCTTCTCATTCTCGTACACAGAACATTTCTAAAAATACAATGGTCCTAAAGTCTGAGTCAGAGACTGATCTTCAACTACTCTGTCATGCCAATTGCACGTTTCCTACTTATTTGTATGCCAAACAATCGTCGTGTATCCTCTCATGCAAGATATAGGGCACATGTAGGTCACATGGCTGAGCCCGAACTCGGCATCCTACTTCAATAGCCTCAATGACTTTGCTTAACCAAATGTCCCACTGCCTTAACACCCCTGCTTGGGTTACAAGCTATCGCCGCATAGCTTGGTGATTATGTGCCTAAGTTATACGCTTATATCTAATATACTGGTTTGAACATTATTTGACGTGGTACTTTGTGTTTATTCTAAATAGTTGTTAATAGAACACAGTCTGGTGATTACAAACCTTGGTGCTTAAACCATGCCATGCTGCGTTCTGTGTTGTTATCGCGGCATTCCATTTCCGGCATGTTCTATGATCTTCTTCCTCTGTCCATTCTTTCCCTTTGACGTTCTGCAGAGAGCGCGCACCAAAGTTGAACAAGACTGATGAAAATTGTTTGAAAGTGGACTTATATTTACTAGGCCCATTTACTTTGTAACCCTAACCCTAGTATCTTTATTCCAAATGTGTTTTTACTATCTGTAATATTTTGTAATTATTTAAATAATTACATAATATCTCTCTTTATTTTTAGTTTATTCTGTCCTTTATTGAGGAGGGATTTTAAGGGATTTCATTCGCTCCTCTTCTCCTATATGTATCGGCTTCTTTGAAAAAAAATAAAGAATCAGAATTTAAACAGCAATATTCTCTTAATTTTCGCATGGTATTAGAGCTAGAACCTCATGTCGTACAAGCTATGTTGACCGTTCCTCCAAGAGCCTTTGTTGCCAACAATGAGAACCCTAAGACAATGTTGAAGTCTGGAGAAGGTTCAATAGGAGCGACTGGGAATGAAGGGAGTGGTGCAAACTTCCTAATGCAGCAAACTGAGGATGCACTCTCTCACGTTACAATTTCCCATCGTCTAAATGGCAAATATCCACATCCATTTTCTGCTACTTTCATGAGAGAATACAAACATGAGATATAGACAAAAACCAAAAAAATAATACTTCCTATACGTATATGATTCCGTGGCTAAATGATTCATGTTAACCAGTAGAACTCATTATACTTTTATAGGAAACAAGAAGTGCTGTACCCCCCTAGGAATATCTTTTTGCAATGGTCATCTAAATCTGAGATTCAATCTTAAAACAAAAATGAAGAATCAGATGTTGGAAATTATATCCTAGAGCCAATCATTGTACTATGTATATTGTTATTTAATGAATTTTTTTGTTATCATATCAATTGCATGTTCATTATGATAATTGTATGCTTGAACAAAATATAGTAATTATCCTAAATGTCCCTAGTCGGTCATCTATGATGAATCATAGATGAAACAAGACTAATATAACTTTGATTAATTATACTTGAAAGAGTACAAAGTGCTGGATTGACCCGCTATAAGAAAACTACATGTTACAAATCATACGCTTCTTTCATATGTAATCATATCACTAAGACCTTTGACTTGAGATCATCATAGATTCCTGTATAATAACCACTGAACTTTAACCTAGTCAAAAGTCACCTTTGACCAAGTGATCATAAAGGCTATGATTGATTTTAGTGATATTCATGTAAAGATATGAGTGGTCAAGATGGAATTTATCTCTCATGTTAATTGAGAGATATTACCGGATCTCTCGATGAGTAAGATTGAGAAAATATATGACCATACTACAATGAAAAGGCCTTTTTCATTATTATAATCAGTCCACTTAGAGATCGAGAAAGTAATAATTAGGTAAAAGAGAATGACAATTTCATATCTCACACTTAACCGAAATATCACATGACAAAAGAAATATGATGCGGTTACATGATAGGTTACATCAGATCATCGATCCTTATATAAATTAGGTAGTTGCAATGTCTTGCTAGAGGCAACTTGTGACTTGTGGACTAATAGCGTAATTAGCTTACTGCCAATTTCATGTAGGTCTACAAGGTCACATACAAAAATAGCCCAACTCAAACTATAATGTCCAAATTCATTGAATTTGAAATGTGTTTAGATTCAATGAACATAATGCTTTTCTAGGATGAACGAATTATACATATATTTGAATATTTATTTAATAAATATTTGTATTTATATATTTATATGAAATATAAAATTTAAAATATAATTATATATAAATATATATATTTGAAATATATATATTCATGTTTATATATATATGTATATGATATATGAAATTAAATAAATATAATATAGTATACATATATTTTTGAAATATATGTATATATATACATTCATGTACATATATATATATAATATGTATATGTGATATATTATATTATATTGTGTTATATTGTGTTAGTTTTAAATTTAATTTCATATGATAGATTAAATTTAATAACTAATATGATATGAGAAAATATCATGTTAGTTATATAATTTAAATTTATGAGATAAATTTAAATTATATAATATCGTACATTCAATTTATGAGATAATTTAATTAAACTTTTCATAGGCTCTTCAAGTGGAAGATAAAAACTCTAATCTATATATTATATATAGATAGGGACATGCTTGATAAAAGTAGTAAGAGTCAGAAAAGTCCTGACAGGAAAACATAGTAAGAGCCACAAAAACACCCTAGAGAAAAGTGTCGTTCGAGCTCTAGCACGCCATTTGAGTTGAAAGCTGTTCGTGTGGATATCAATAGAGAGAGTAAATTTACATTGTCAGCTCTTAAGATCCAATTTCTTGAAGACAATAAGTAAAGAACTTGTAATTAAAAATGTAATTGTTCTATCCACCTTAACTTAAACAAGTTTATTTGGTCCACATCAAGATAGAGATTTAAAATTTTAATCTTCCATTACGCCTCCCTATCCAACATTAGAAACATGATAATTTGTAAACATCTAGATTTGAGAGTCATATGGAAAAGTCTTTGATATAAAGTTAAACGTCAAATATTAAGCATCCAAAACTAGAAGTCTACATTATTGAATTTCTTCTCTCAGTAATGTTTCTTAAATTACAACACAAAAAATTACTTACAAGCTTTGGATGATTGACTCATTTGAAATCTGTATTCATATGGACAACATTATTATATATTAAAGTCAATGAAAATCTTTCCAACTTTAACTTATTTATTGACTCATTTGAAATTTTTTTTCATGCTGGATTACGCTGAAGAGATTTTCTGCTATAAAAACTTCAATCAAAATGAATTCATAAAACATTAATTTCCCTTGGAACAAAAAGAACAACAACACGATAATGTAATCTGTTACCTCTGGATTTTCATATGGGTGCAATGAGAATTAGCTAGATTGGACGCCAATCCACCACTATATTTGGGAGATGAGAAATGACTCCAAATTTTGACATACCAGAATATCAATAAATCGAAGTGATTGGAGATTGCAGATCCATTCTGACAAAGCTCTGAGATTTTCGGGTGAGTCAATACAAAATCCTTGAAGTGAATGGAGGCAACGAAGGTCTTGAAACTCTCTGCTAAAATCCTCGTCATTACCGCAACCTTGTAAATCAAAGTTGTCCAAATGGTATGGCTGGTTACATATCTACCAAACAGTAAAAAAAAGGGTAACAGTAAAAAAAAAGGGGGGGAATGAAATCGCAAAACCGAAAAACATTGGCGGGGTTAGAGTAAACCAACCAGCATGTGCTTCCTAACTCCCCCAAAATGTGATACCCAATTTCACCTAAATTTGATCTTTTTGTTTTTTGGGCTCATGACTCGTTTGCTATCATACGAAATTTCTGATTTAAAATGACTACTGCAAAAAGTGATTATGTTTGTGAAACTACATATATACGACCAGAGATGGGAATGCTTTAAAATGAGGCAAGTGAGTTTGTAACATTCTGCATCACATTCTCCATCGTTGTAACAAATGCCATTGACATTCGGTGTGTGTTGATGCCAGAATTCTGGAAGGTCATGCTAAAAAGTGGGGAAGTTGATATCGAATTCAAGGATGATAAAATATAAGTACTTAAGTAGTGCCACATAAACTTTGACATTCTTAGGTCTCGCTTGTTTACTAAAAAGAAAAGAAATGGAATGAATTAAAAAAATTAAGACAAAAATAAATTAAATTACCTTTCCTCCTACAGTAAGCGTGATAAAACTTATTAATATATATTATAAATATAAAAATTATCACACCCTTCAAAAATTTTATAAATCATGATTATCAATCTCATATAGTAAATTACCTCTTTTTTTTATGAATGTACTCACCTATCTCTTTGATTATCTTATTTTTATATTTATTTTTTTAATTCATTCTATTAATTTTTTTCTAATAAGCAAATAGGACCTTGGTATTTAAGCTCTTCACCCAGAGGAATAATAGAAGTTGGAGATGAGTTTAACTGACAATTAAATTTAAATACACTAGTTAATCACCTATGCTTTGCATGGAATGTTATTTTTACAAATTCTTTCAAGTGTTAAATGGTGATAATTAGTACATATGAAGTATTTATATTAGCAAAATAATAAAAAGATAATAACTACTCAATCAATAATTAATATTAAAAAATTATAAAATGAATAAAAAATTATGGGATAACATAATAGATAAATTTTAAACACAAATGGAAGGTGGATGCAGTAATTTGTCACAATAAATACAGAAAGATAGATAACAATAAAAATTAGAAAAAGCAAAGCACCTCAGTGGATAGATGGCTATCATATATCAATTAAATTGTTGAAAATTTTCTTGTAACCTATGATTGCAATAACATTTGTGGGCTTAACATCTGCATCAAGAATTACCAAAAATCAAAAATAAATAATTTTTTAAATTGATAAACCATATATTTAGGAGAAAACTTGTGAGGATAGGTTGGCCGCTGAATTTGCACCTATGAAGACAAAATAAAAATAAAAACTTAGGTTTTTTTTTTATAGTTTATCTTTAATAATGTTTTAGGTTTAAGAATATTTGCATGTGTTTTCATTGATATCTTATTTATTTCAAAGGCTAAGTTGGTGGTGGGCCTTCTTTGGCACTCATTTAAGAAGGGGATGATGAAGTTTCAGTGAGGCGTGGCGGGACTATTCTTTTCTTATTATTTATTCCTGGAAATTTAAAGAAATAAAAGGTCGGAAAAATCCTGAAAAACGCGTTAAGTTTCCATATAGGGATATGGATTCAATTGTGTGCGGCCGTCCAAAGGGTGAAAAAAGGTTTGGCCTAGTAATGAAACTCTAACTCTGCAGGAGGAAAATGCAGAAAGTCGAGAAAATTCCCAGAAAAAAAAAAAACGCGTTTAAGTTTAAATCCTACCATGCATGTGATGGAAATTGAACTTCATATATGACTACGTCCTCCTATAAAACCAAACCCATGAGGTTCGGTATCCCCATTTACGTACGCAAGAGAACTTTCATTAGCGGAGGGCCAGATGGGACTACCTGCAGGTTTGGGAATATTCATCATCATTTTTGTTTGCTTCATCGTCTTTTTCATTATTCTTTCAATTTTGTGTCGACGAAGAAAATCAATGGAGCCAGCAACCGAAGTGGGACGCCATGAAGATGGCGGTGAAGTCGATCTCGAAGATGGCAGTAATGCCAGTGTTGGCAGCAACGATGGCGGTCATGGTGACCACAACACTAACGATGATGGCCACCACCATGGAAGCCACCACGGCGGCCGCCACCACCACCATAGCAACCATGACGTCCACCAACATCACCACACCAGTCACCATGAACACCACCACCACCACCATGATGGAGGCCACTTCGGTGGTGGCCACCACCACCATGACGGAGGCCACTTCGGTGGCGGCCACCACCACAGTTCAATATGACCTTTTCTCAATGATCCATTACCATCACAAGCTTAATTCAATTACTAGCTTCTCGAGACGTCTTGAATTTGAGTTATAAAATGTATTAGGGTTGGTGGCAAAACCTTCATCTAAAAATGTCCTGTACTAATTCGATTTGAATTAGTGTAGATCCTTGTTAAAGTCTCATCAATTTGATATGGATTAGATCGAGGATATGGTTAAAAAAATTGTGGTGGTCCATTGAAATCCCACGCACAGCACATGGAAGGTATCATTGGGAAAATTGTATGATAAGTCTTCAATGGGTTAATGTTTATTGTTATTATTATGAAACATCATAGGAATTGTAGGACTAATATTTTGATTCAAGCACCAGCATATAGTTTATCGTAATTTTTTCTTCCACACACCTAATCCGATCCCGACTATAATTTAAGGAATTTACACATACATATAATTTAAGGAATATCACAAATTAATTCTCTTCTATACAGAAAAGGTATATCAAATTAAAAAACATAAAATTAACAGACATAACAAGTTTTTATATAAAGATAATTTTTCATTATAATTTTATGTTTATGCATTGTTTTTAGTATTTAATTTTATTAAATTATACCTTTAATATAATTTAATACATAATTAAATTTATATTTTTTTTTATAAAATATTAATATTTTTTTTAAAAAAATTATGTCCCTCGACTTTTTTTTTTGGATTCGTCACTACACCCGAATGTCAAAGGCAGCCTCGAACAAGGTGAAAACTCATCCATTAACAAGAGTCAATATTAATAGTAATTAAAAAAAATCTCTAGTCAATATTCCCTTGTATCCCATATCCTAATAAAACCAGCGTTTATGGAAGAATCTAATCATGCTTTCAAATACATGCAAAAGAATCCACTCTTGCTGCCCATGTTAATTAGACAAAAATTATGTTCCCGTTTGAAAAGTTAATAAAAGTATAATAAATTATTATCCCCAGGAAGATTCCTCGAATGGTTTATGTTTGTCCACACCGTCCAAGTCATTCCATTCTCATCCGCTTGATCTTATAGCAGTGTGATATACGGGATATTAATTTTCAATTACAATATAATATAATTAGAAAGAAAAGAATATTTTAATGGGTTCAATTTTTAAAAATGAGTGGAAGATTTAAATTTTTAATATAGTGAAAATGTAAAGGAGATAAGTAATTACTTATAAATTTTAGATCACAATGTCCTATATTTTACAGTTATCCATGCAATTATAAAAATTACTCTATGTTTTATATTTTAAATTAAGTAACACTTTTAAAAAACATCTTACTTATAATTTGAAAATAATTTTTTTTTAAGTATTGGTTTCATATTGATTGCTCATTTTTTATTCTGAGCCCATACCCACTTATTATAAATCCTTTATAATATTTTTATTTTTATTTAATATATAATAATTTAAAAAAATACTATAAAATATACAAAAAAAAAAAGAAAATAGGTCAGATGGTCCGACAATAAATAGAACAGAGGAGGGATTCTACGTCCCACTACATTGGCCGTATATGGGAGAAAAACTTTAGTTATAACCTTTTTAAAATTTGTACTTCCTCCATTCTAAATTATAAAATATTTTTTTAAAAAATTAACTTTCTAAAATATAAAATACTTTGATAAGTATAAAGTTTTCATTAATAATACTTTGATAAACAATTTTGTAAGTTTATATTATATTCGATTAAACTTTTGAAAATAATCATAATTCCAAAAAGGGTAAATCTTTAATTATTTTAAGAAGCTACTCTAAAAATAATCTAATACGATAGATGAGATAGTGCGTTTTAAAGAGGGGGAACACACAAAAATATCATAAAAGTTTTAAATAATATAATAATAAATTACTTTTATAAAATAAAAATCAAAAAGATATCATAAAATTTAAAAATAACTCATTAATAATCAATTTTTTACTATTGTAACCAAACATAAAATAATGTCTACTTTTTATAAAATCTCTACAAAATAAATTTATTTTTATAAAATCTCAAAACTACGTAAAAACCATTTACTTTTTAATTTTAAACAAACAAGCCTTAAAGTGCTTTGAATGTTACTTGATGTATAAGACTTTGTCTTTTATTCTAAGCAATTCTTCATACAACACTGTCTGGTGATTACATACCTGGTTGCTTTATAACCATGCCATGCTGCAGGGTCTTTTCAAATTCAAGTAATTAATAAGTATACATTTGTAAAATGATAACTTATGTTAAAATTTTAAAAGTTCACCTCCTATGTTGAAAAATAAAGGGCATTTGGTAAATTTTTATCAAAATTTATTTTCAATTCAATTCATTAGTTCTACAATGTATTTTAAGATTTTATTAGGTCTGATTTGAAAGTAAACATTTACATGAGTTCTCAACTGAAATTCTCTTTATTTAATTTCTTCTCCCATTGCTGTCCCATTTTCAAAGGGCAAATCACAATAATAACAAGGGAGAATGACAAAAAAAAAAATCTTATAAGAATATTAATGTTAAATTAAAATTTTTTAACACTAATGTTCTCAAATTTTAATATTCTTTCTACTATATTTCAGTATTAAAGCTCCTAATTTAGCATTAATATTATTATAAAGTTCTTCCTTGTACAAATTATTATTATGATTAAAATACTCTTAAAAGTAAGTGACTAAATGTGCATTTTAGGCAAGGTTGTTTTAGTCAAAATATTATTTTTTAAACTGCAAAAAAGATTATGGTCCTGAAACTCAATTTAAATATTTCGTGATTCTAAATAGTAATTACTGATTCTTGTGTATCCTTTATTGAGATTGTCCCTTTTTCAAATGTACTCAGTGAAGTAAGTGTGAGTAAGCGTTGGATACCTAACTCCTTGCGAGCTTCACCAAACCAATCAAATGACAATGATAAAAACCGAAAAAAGGTACTCCACCATCTTAATTATAAAATACTACATCCGTATTTTAAATTATGAAACTCTTTTAAAAAAATTATGACATTTTAAAATATTAAATATTTTAATAAAAATAAATTTTTATTAATAAAATTTTTTTTAATATTACTTTTTTTACATATTTATTCTCTTTAATATTTTTTATATGTAAAGTATTAAATTAAGTGTATTTTTAAATATTTTTATTTTTATTTTAAAAAAATTTAATAAATTTTATTAATATGTTTAATTTTATTTAAAAGTATTTTATAAAATGGGATGAAAGGAATACTTTTTAGATATATTTCATTTAATACTACATACAAGTTATTTTTTAGAAAAAATTGATGCTTGTTTTATATTTTTGGCCAGCTATTGATGGTTTTTTTTTTATAAGTTCTTGTGTATGAAAATATTAATTATTAATTACTTTATTTAAATTTTATCCTTTTTTCAATTTTCTATAGATAAAGTAAAAGGTTATATGTGAAATAAAAAGTGTTTTAGAATATGGCACATTTAATAAGCTTAAATTGAGAAATTTATTATCAGAAATTATCAATAATTTAGATATATCTTCTTGGTTTCAAAAACGTAATTAGAATATCACTTGATGGAGTACTATGTTTAAGAATACAAGACATATTAGTTTTTTTCTAGAAGTAATGAATGAGGTTTTCTAGTCAATAATTACTTGTAATTGTTTTAACTTATAATTTTAAATCATTTCTAATAATTTTTATTATATTTTCTTGAAATTCAATATTAGCTATAATTATTAAAAATTAATGATGATTAAAAATATTTTAACCAAATATTGGATGACTTCTTATTTTGATTTTAAAAATCCTTTTTTGTTAGAAATTTTAGTTTTGCTCCTTTAAAATGTTCATAAAATATTAATTACTTTTTTAATATATTTTTGACCTCTTATTAATTTCTTTCTATGTTTTCAATACTTTTTATTATATGGCTAAAAAGAAAGAAATTGCATTGAAATATAATTTTTTACAATATAAAGCATTTTATCATTTTTCATCCGCTCTTATATTCTTCTTCCTCTGTGTCCATTCTTTCCCTTTGACGTTTTGCAGAGAGCACGCGCCAAAGTTGAACAAGACTTACGAAGACCCACATCCATTTTCTGCTACTTTCATAAGAGAATACAAACATGATATAGAGAAAAATACCAAAATAAAAGTAATATTTCCTGTACGTATATGATTCTATGGCTAAATGATTCATGTTAACTGGTAGAACTCGTTATAATTTTATAGGAAACAAGAAGTTCTGCACGTACCCCGTAGGAATATCTTTTTGCAATGGTCATCTAATTCTAAGACTCAATCTTAAAACAAAACCAATGAAGGATCAGAAACATGATAATTTGTAAACCTCTGGATTTGAGAGTTACATAGAAAAGGCTTTGATGTAAAGTTAAACGTCAAATATTAAGCATCGAAGACTAGAGGAGGTCTAAATTATTGAATTTCTTCTCTAGGTAATGTGTCTTAAATTACAACACAAAAAATGGCTTACAAGCTTCGGTTGATTGACTCATTTGAAATCTGTATTCATATGGAAAACATTATATAATAAAGTCAGTGAAAATCTTTCCAACTTTGACTTATTTATTGACTCATTTGAAATTCTTTCCATACTGGATTACTCTCAAGAGATGTTCTAAATATTTTTCATATAAAAACTTACTATCAAAATGAACATTTTTCATAAAACATTAATTTCTTTTGGAACAAAAGAACGACGACATCATAATGTAATGTGTTACCTCTGAATTTTCATATGGATGCAATGAGAATTAGCTAGATTGGACGCCAATCCACCACTATATTTGGGAGATGAGAAATGATTCCAAATTTTGTCATCCCAGAATATCAATAAATCGAAGTGATTGGAGATTGCAGATCCATTCTGATAAGGTTCTTAGATTTTCACATGAATAAATACAAAAGCCTTGAAGTGAATGGAGACAACGAAGGTCTTGGAACTGTGTGCTAAAATCCTCGTCATCACCACAACCGTGTAAATCAAAGTTATCCAAATGGTATGGTGGTTATATATATACCAAATGTAAATGACCACAAGCCTTTGGATATCCCATGAAAAAATTAATAAAAATAAAACAAGATAAAAGCAAAAAGTTGACCAAGTCCACGGTCCCCACTGAAACGATTATTGTCCCTAGGAAGCTTCCTCGAAACAACCTAGTGGGGGACAAAATATAGAAAACTATTTAAAATATAGAAAACTAACACTAATTTTTATATTTTTTTTGTAAACGAAATAAAAAATACCAAGGAATAATAACATTTTTTTTTAGGTTGGGGGGGGGGGG